GTATCTTTCTTGTTTAAAATAAAGTTATAGAGTCAAAAACCAGAGAAAATACGGAGAGGAAACAGAAATGCAGCATAAGCAGTCTTGTCCTTTCAAAATAAAAGTGTTTTGCACAGCTGAATGGTTGCCATGGAGATTAATGAGTGAAAGAATCAAAGCAAAACTCCAGGTTTGTTTTCAATGTGGGAAAAAAATACAACTTTATTCAAAGTGTTTGGAGTAAAGTTTAAACTGTAAACCGGTCATAGGGTTCCATCTTTATGTTTCTGTTTAAAGTTTGACATTTTCATGTAAATTTGTTTAGTTCCTCAGTATTGTTGCCTGAAGCCGTCCCAGTGCTGCCCTCTACTGGTGGAAACGGTACGACTTTGACACAAAAAAGTCAAAATTTCTTCACTTTTTTTCTTTGGGGAAAAAAAGTTGCTCGTCTCGCCTGCACGTGGCCACGCCCCTCTGCGTCTTGGCCCCGCCCACTTCCTACTTTTAAACATTTTCAGGGGCGGAGCTGGTTACAGTTTGGAATTTCAAAATGTTCAGACCGTCCTGCTTGATTTTGTGAGTAAATATTTACTGTCATTACTGTAAATATTTCTGAACCAGATAATAACCAAAGAGTAGAAACAGGTAAAAAAAATAAAAAATCTGATTTAAGGTTCCAGCAAATTTACAGAATGAAGGAGAAATTTTGAGCAAAATTAGAAAAACTTTGCAGTCAGAGTTGAATTAAAGCAAAGACTCACATTTGATTTTCATTGTTTTATCGTTGTGCATCTCCTGTCTTGTGTTTCTACTTTATCTTCATCCTGCAGTGGGACGGTTGGATGCTTCTAACATTTCCCTCTCCAAGATTTTAATTTGTTAGATAATTTTACCCTAATTAAAGTTAAAATGTCCTGATCTGTGCTGGCGGCCAACTTTGAATCATTTCTAAGTCATAAGTGACTTAGACGTCTCCGTCTCAGCTTGGTGCCCTTTTCTCTAACTCCTCAGATCGTCCTTCAACAGGAACAGACAGTAACCCATCGTTTCTTTATAAAAAGGCCCTTTCCCAGGGCATCTTCACTTAAAAGATGCAGAAGCGTTTCAGAAATAGTTTTAATTTACAGCAACATATAAAGTCAGAAACATATGGTCCATATATAAATTAAATGTCCTTTCTGCTGATGATGTGAACACGTCTGGCTCACTCAGGCAGGAGCCGGGTCTTGTTGAGGACGGCGCTGACGGCGGCCGTCAGGCGGCCGCTGTAGCTCAGCAGCCGGCCGTCATAAACCAGCTGCTGGGCTTTCAGTCCATTTTGTCCTCGCGCTCTGCAGAAACACAGAGGGAAACGTCCGGAAATGTCACAGTTTCTACCATCAAACATATGAAGCGACGCAAAAACACCATAAATGTTCATGATTTTAAATGCCATTATTGCTGAGTGTGGTTTGCAATGACCCATCGGAAATCAAGCAGTTTAAATGTTGACTTGTTTTACTGAGTCGGTTTTAACATTTTCAGTCCGAGTCGCTGAACAGCATTGTAAGGATGCCTGAGTCTGGTTCTCTCCTCCAAACCCGTTCAATCTGCAGAACCAGAGAAACGAGGAAGCCAAGGCGATCCTCTTCATCGCTCTGCAGGCTGTTGAATCTGCTCAAAGCTACAGGCTGATTAATGCAACAGAAAGTTACATTTATCCTCGTTAGCCTCATTAATAATTTGAGATGAGCTTAAACAACTGTGTTGGTAATTACATATTCTGTATGGATGTTGTGCTGTATGTTTTATTGTGTTTTTTCTTGATGTTATTTATCTTCAAAGCAAATTGCCCCTTTATTGTCTTTGGGGGACAATAAAGTTTATCTGACCTGAACTGAAAAGTTGCATAAAATCATCAGAATCACAAATTCTTTGGGACGATTTAAGGACAAATTCAACCAAACCAACATTGGGGAGGATTTGGTTGATGTCCAGGTGAGAAGGAAAGAAATTTCCTTGCGTTTGGTTTACATCTTTTCAGCTGTTTAAGGTTGAACAGTTCTGCAGTTCATAGCTGAAGGTTGTTAGAGATTTTTTGGTATTATCATTTTGTTATTACTTTAGTTCATATTCAGTCTAATGTTAAACAATAGTTAATCAACATTCAGTCTACAGATTATTAAAGTGTTCTCTTCCTTCTGTGTGCATAAACTGACCTGGAGGCTCCATCTGCTTGTTTGTCTTCATGTGAAACAGTTAACTGTGTGTTTCCCAGACCTTAACCTGTCATTCACGAGAGGACCCAAATTTGGGTCCTCTAGTGACAGGGGTGTCAAACTCCAGTCCTCAAGGGCCGCTGTCCTGCAACTTTTAGATGTGCCTCTGCTGCACCACACCTGAAAAGAATAATTAGGTCACTAGCAAGGCTCAGGAGAACCGATCTACACAGGGAGGAGGTAATTAAGCCATTTCATTCCACTGTTTTTTTTTACCTGTGGCACATCTAAACACTGCAGGACAGCAGAGGACTGGAGTTTGACACCCCTGTCATTGTGAATGACAACCTGTGAATGACAGGTTAAATTATGTTTCCACAGGTGCCTCCTTATCAACCGGAATACTCCCTACCTTAGAAACTGCCTGTGTGCAGTAATATATTGCTTGATAATAAAAGACAAGCTGTAACCAAAGGTCTTCAGACGCTCAGTGAACGGCTCGGAGGAGCAGTTTGCTGAGTCTTCTCCTTTTGCAAAAACGTGGCCATAAAATTCATATACGTCGTCTGTGGTTCTTTTATGTAGGTTCGAGAAAAAATACCTATCAAGGTGAATCCGTTTGTTCTGTCAGGTCGATGTGCAGTGCTGGCTTACTTGGTGTGGTACATGTGGGCGGTCTTCCTGTCCACCCAGGCGCAGTTCTTCTGCGACCGCAGCACTCCGTGGACGGTGACGACGAACACGGACCGAGGGTTGGTGATGATCTTGTAGTTGTTGAAGACCGGTTTGGGTTTAACAGGTTCCCTGTACAGGTGAGTCAGGATGTTGACCCCGAATACGTTGCGCCAGCGGCCCAACGCAGGCAGGACGTTTGGCGGCGGAGGACGCTCCATAAATTCGGTGGGGAACCAGTTGTTCTCAAAGTTAAAGCACCGGTCAACGCCGTGTCTTTTCTCCAGAAGCGGCAGCAGCTGCGACCAGCTGCAGGAAGCAGGTCCGAATCAGTGAAACACTTTCAAAAGGCGGAACAGGAGGGAAAACACAAAGGAGTTGAGCCAACTCAACTCAAAGATCTGCTACGTTTCATCAGGAGCTACGAAAACAGCTTCACTGATCCAATCGCATGGTGAAAATAGTTCACAGCTGTCTTGTGATTGGTCAGAAGCTTGCTGACGCGTTTAATGGAGTTCGGTTATGAGGTGTGAATGCTAATCAAACTTTGATCTCTGGTCCTCCAAACCTCGGTCTGGGTTCGGCTGAAGTGAACTCCGGTTCGGTTTGAATGCGTATGTGAACGCCAAGCGGACCAAAGACCGCTGCAAAAGCAGGAAGTGGAAAACAGTGCAGGGCATTCTGGGTAAATAAAACCAAAACAAACCTGTTAGCTTAGCGCCATCAGGAGAAACAACCTGTGGTCTTTCACCAAAGACTAAAGAGAAATCCTACAACCCCTAATATCTTCTTCTTCTATGGTGGCAGTTTACAGGCTTGGTGCATTACCGCCATCAATTGGACGAAGACGTTATCCAGAAATTCAATTTATCTTTAAAACCTTAAAATAACTATATTACACACACACGCAGTCACCTAATTTTGTGTCTTTTAAATATTTAATAAGTGGTTGAATTACATCTTGTGATTGATGCTTCCCTAATAAATTAGCTGTAGTTATTGAACTTCCATTTCTTTCCCATGTCGTATTCCTAATATCCGACACCATTTTAGTGAAGAAAGAAGTTGTGCTCAGTGTCTTCAGAGGTTTTCATGTTGTTTCCTTCAGTGGTTCTTGATGTAGCGCCCCCACAGGTGAGGAGGGAAACATGATATCCTTGAACATATATTTTCTTGGATTTGTTGTTCTGCATAAATAAACTCTCTCTCCTGTTTTCATCCATGCTGGGAGATCAGACACCTTCAACTTCCTTTGAGCAATATAATCACCATCACATCATCACTGGCTGTTTGAAAAAGAATCATGAAACCTTTTTCTGCCATTTCAAAATCATGAAATACTTTTTGGTGATCTTGCAGGTGAAGAGCCAGTTAAACACAGTGAAGTAAATTGATGTAATTACATATTTAAGGGTAAATGTCACCTGGAACGGGTCAGCTCTCAGTACCTGTCGACCGTCTGCGGCAGGATGAGCTCGTCCGGGTCGTGCAGCGCCACGTATCTGGACCGGTACATGGATCTGTACAGGCAGTCGTTGAGCGCCGGGATCTGACCGAAGTAGTGGATGTCACCAGGATCCTGATCAGGTTTAGCTCTTCGAGAAACATTCAGGTACTTTGACAGAGACCAAGGAATCACCTCCACTAGACCTGCAGACGGACGGCTGCTTTTAGTTTACACTCAGACAATTAAAAGGAAAAAAAACTAAATATAAAACCCAAACAGCAGAATATTTCTGCATTGTTGAACCTCATGCATGTGTTGTGTATTTGAAAATAACTTATCAATGTTGTCATCAAAGGGTCAAAAAGAAAAGCAAAACATTTTCCCTCAAATATTTCCATTGTAATAAAATTAATCTTCAGTTTAGAGCTACTTCTTAAGATGATCCAAACCAATAATCAATAAGTTCATCTCAGTGTTCATGGATCTGATTTCTGAGACGCCTCACATTTCCACACAGTTAAAAAGTTCATCCAGTCTTTTGGACTTCTGCTAAATTATTCACCAAGATAAAATAAAAACAGCTGTTTTGATCAGCTGCAAAAAGCCGACACTTTGCATCTGGACTGACTGTCAGAAGAAAAGTCGTTTCATCATTTACTCTTCTATCGTCCCCCATGGTGTCACTTCCACCTCAACCTCCGAGTTGATTTCAGGCTTCTTTTGTTTTAATGTATTGAGTAATAGTTGGTTTTTAAATGTGCTTTATCAAAGGATTTGCAGGCTGTCCGTGTCACATCTTCTCTCATAGGAAAGAACAAAGTAAAAACTAAAAATTCAAACTATGTTAAAAACATTAACTATAACTGAGGATAAGTTTCCCCTCCACAAACGGTTCTGAAGGCGTTTTATTTTTTTAACTCATGCATCGTTTTCACATATTAAATATTAAGGAAAGTGCTGTGCTATGCTAACCGTGTTTATGAAGGTGTGAGTCAGCGTGCTGGACCTTTGTCGGTGTAGTAGTCCAGGACGCGCTGCGTCTCGTTGCTGCAGTTCGTCTTGTAGATGACGATTCTGTTCACACCCAGCAACTGCAGCATCTCCACCGTCTGCACCAGCTGCAACACAGTTTACACTGTAAAAATCACCCTGAACTTACAACAGAGTTCATTTCCAAAGCAGTGATGCAGAAAATGATCTTTGGTTTGGAATTAGCTTTGCTTCAAGGTTTGATTTGAACATTTCTGATACTGTTTGTCACCTTAAAATGTGTTTCAATGCACTTTGAGCTGCCTTGTTGATCAAATGTGCTAAAAACAAATTACCTTGATTGATTGATTGATTGATTGATGTTACCTGCAGGATGTTGGTGTAGTTGTACATGGTGGAGAAACAGCTGGTGAAGTTGTACGGAAAGACGTTCGGCGCCTTTTGATTCTGAACCTCCAAAAACTCATCTAACCCACAAAGAGAGAGAAGACGATATTCCTCAAAAATAACCAAGATGGCCACCACCCTTCCTCCATCACATGAGGTGTGCCTCAGGGCTCTATTCTCTTCACCAGCTACCTTCCTTCTCTTGACAATGTTTCAATATCCAACATTTTGCAGACGACGCTCAGCCCCACGCCACTACGTTCACACAGCAGGCACATACCAACTAAACCCGATTTTTATTTTGCACGTATCCGACCTAAATCTGATCTTTTTAATTGTGCCTCTTCCCTATGTTGAACTAAATCAGATACATTTCCGATAGTTTTCAAAGTGTTTGCAGTCTGAACGGTCATGTTGCATTTCATCCAACGTTTACGTCATTCATGTGAGACGGGAGTCAGAATTCAGCACCAGAAGAAACCAAACACAGTAAATCCAGATGTAAACAGTGGCTGAAAATGATAATTATTACTCCGAGTCAGTGAACGCATCACATCACAATCCAAACACACTTCTCTACAGACGCTGCAGTCAAAGCCTGTTGCTGTTAGCTACGCTCTCTTATCAGCTCCCTTCGTTTAATTCGATCCGCTGTTCATGCCGTCGGCTCTCATCGCTGAATAAATTTAAAACGGATCCAAACACAGCAGCAGAAATGATGACTTCCATGAACAGAACGCTGCTGTGTGGCGTCTACGAGGAGGATAGCAACTAGTTACATTTTTTTATTATCATTATTATTGTTAGGAATATTTTTACTCCTCTGTGCTTTTTACTTTTACTTGAGTAATTTTATTGTAAAGTGTTTCTACTCTTCAGTAAAATTTCTGGATTTTTTTCCACTGAAAGAAAAACAAACATGTTTTAAGCAGAAAGTCACCAGACAGCCTCAGACCTGCAGATTCTGTTAAACTTTCTTCACTTTTTTATTGAAAGAAACTGATTTGGAAAATAAAATATTTTGCTCAATTCTTTTGTGTGACTTCTATGAATTATTGTCATTTTAGTCCTAAAAATGTAATGATGTCATTTCTAAATTATTATAATTTGATCAGGAACTCTGTGCTTCAGCAGACTTTTTACCAAATACATTTTCACTACTCAAGCTGTGCTTCTCTCCACTCTGGGGTTGAAAACTGCTCAGACATTTGATCACAATGTTTCACAATGCTGTGTGAACGTAGCCTAACAAACCAAAGTCGTATCTCCTGTTCCCTCCACCTGGTTACCTGAAATAAAATCCTGGTCTGCATGCTTCCACCTGCGTTACCATAGCAACCCATGCAGCGCTGCGGTACCTGGGTTCCTGATGGCCGCTGAGGTGACGGCTACGTGGGTCGGCGCCTGGCAGGCCGGCGGCAGCGGGCAGGAGACGTCGGCCGTCCCGTACGGAAAGCCGAAGTGATCCCAGTGGATGTCGACGGAGGCTCTGGAGACGTGAAGCTGCTCCCTGCAGCGCAGGCTGCACTGCAGAGACACTTTCTCTTTACGGAACATGATGGCGATAACAAGAACCTGACAAAATAATAAATTAGATTAAATCATCTAATGCGTCTTCTATGAAACTCAATCAGCTCAAAAAGAAACTTCTCAGAAAACTGAATAATCAGCTATTCAAAGCAGAAAAACGTTTTAAATATCATCCCACTGATGGATTCAAATGAACAGAAAAACAAACATTTGAACATGGATGTTAATTATGAATAAACTGTTTGGATCGTAGGTTGTTTTGGGGTTTATTTCAAACTAGTTCCATCAGCCTCGTTTCCATTTTACTTTTTCTTAGTGATTCTAGTTTATTACGTTTATTTCTTCTGTCTAATTATTCTTAATTACGTTTCCTCTGTTTAGTTTTGATTAACTGTTAGACTCTCCCTCGCCCCTGTCCCTCTCTCTCTCACCTGTAATCAGCCAATCAGCTCAGGTCCTTTGCTCCACATTCTCTCTCCCAGTACTTACACACCTTTAAATCATGTTATTTCCCAGATTTTCCCGGTTCCTGTGATTTTTTGTTCTCCTCTGGCTCCCTGTGCTCCCATGTTTTTTTTTTTACCTTTATTTTTCCATTAAATCTTCATCTGAACGCCTCAGCTGCTCTGCATTCGCTTCCTCTTTAACGTTCTGGATCTCCAGAACCAGAACAAACATGGAAAAGCAGCTTTCAGCTTCTATGCACCACAAATCTGGATCAGACTTCCAGAAAACTGCAAAACGGCCGAAACACCGAGTTCCTTTAGACCAAGACTGAAAACCTGTTTGGAGCTGCTGTTCATAACACTGACCAACATATTTACCCTGATTAATCATGCTAACAACAGCACTTGATAAATGTAACATCTCTTATTGTTTTCTATGATATTTTATGGTTTTATGATGTGAACTTTAAACTTAAATTCTTCTGAAATGAGCTGCACAAGTGAAGCTGATTAAACATTAACTTTGGCGTTTATATGTACAGTTGCACTGGATACAGTGGCTTTCTTCAGCTTTGCCAGTAAAGCCTCTTATGTTTGTGTTGTAAATGTTGCTTTTAATCTTATTCTTGTTTTATGGGACTGTGTGAGAGTCGCTGATGGAATATTACGGAAATATTCTGTCAGCGATAAAAAGTAGCCAAAAAAGACCAAAAATTTCTAGACCAATTTCAAATATTTACAAGAAAAAAGTATTGTCTGACGTCAAAAAGTGGCAAATTTACAATAATTTCCTTCCCTGCTCGCAAAAATAAAAGGCATAAATTTACACTGTTAAAATAAAGGTATGGTCTGACACCAGGTTTCTCAGCCCCATGCTCAGCTCTGCAGGGTTTAGACGTTTTCCTGTTTTAACACGCCTGGTTCAGAGGATCCCAGCCTGTTCATCCGTCGTCAGGGGAAGTCAAGTGAGCTGAAGCAGAGAAACGTGTAAAACATGCAGCGAGCCTTGAGAAGCGGGTTGAGAAACAACAAGCTGACGTTTAATTTCAGAAATTTACAGGAGATAAAATAAGAGATTTAATCTCAGTTTAAGGTGGTAAATTAAGAAGATTTGAATCTGGATATTTTACGGAAGAGGAAGTCCACACTTTTTTCCTGTAGCAGAACAATATCTCCCAAATCCCATGGGAGGCGTTGAAGCTGCAGTTTGCAACTTTTTTGAAAAAATATTTTCTACATAATTGTTAAAACGCTCACCATGTTGTTACAGATAATCTGTGAAAAGATTAATCTCCTCCCTGAACTACTACTCCCGTCTGAAAACTGCACCAAAAATCAACCAATTAGAGCCAGGGGGAGGGGCTTAGCGCTATCACTCAACCTCATGCATGTGCTGCTACATATGCTAATGGTGGAGAAACAACTTCCAGTTACAGGAAAACAGTTTGTTCACCATCACTGGCAGTCATATTAACCAGCCTGAGCATTCATTTTCTTTCAGAGAGAAAGTGGGGAGGAGGGAGAAGGACGAGCAACGCCGCACAACACTGTGATTGACAGCACTAAGACCCGCCTCCTGGCTCTGGGAGAAGGCAGATTGATTTTTTTCACCGATTATCTGTCTCATAAACAGTAACGACATGGTAACAGTTTCAACAGAAATAAAAAAAAATGTTCATAAAAATTCCATCCTGCAGCTTTAATGCAGTTCTGCAGCCGGGACAAATTGTTCTGATCCAAAGAAACAAACCCAGACAAATATTCACATGTGAATCTCCTAAACCTACTAGCTCAGTCTTGGAGGACGCGTCAGCTTCTGTCACAAATGTCTGGCTTTTTTTACTAAATATTTGTTTTATACATCTGCAAAATTAATCTTGAAAATTCCAAGTGTGTTTATTGTGCCCACATTTTTGCTGTGTGGGCAGAAACCAGTTTTCCTCCATGCCTCTGTGAACTCAGATGTCTGCTGACAACTAATCAGCACATTCCAATCAACAACTTTACATGCCACTTTGGCAGCAACTTTCCCACATCGAAGGAACTGAAACTTTAACAGGGCGTTTAAAGACACCTGGTGATGCAGGCTCTGATGGGAACAGCCCCTTCCTTCACAGAACGCATGTTTTCATGTTGCATCACAGATTTCAGGGATTTTTTTCTTACCTTCCTGGGTTTGGTTCGATGCTCCAGAAAAGCAGACACCAGCAGCGTTTTGGAGCCTTTAACTCTCATGAGATGGGCCGACTGTCCTTTGAGAACTGGAAGAGGAAAAACATTAAAACATGCTAATCAGGAAGAAGCTAAATGGAAACGTTCAGTTTGGTGGATAACAAAACAGAATCAGTGGGATCAATCAGGTGTAATCATGGGGAGCAGCGATTGGTGTTGGTTCATTCACACCAGTCCCGTTTAAAACGCTTTAATCCAACTGCAGTCTGATTTCCAGAAGGTCCAGTTTGGTTGCTGAGGTGTGAATGCTAAGCTAACTCTGGTCCTCCAAACCTCGGTTCGGTTCGGTTGAAGTGAACTCTGGTTCGCCAAGCGGACCGAAGACCGCTCCCAAAGCAGGAAATGGGCTACAGCGCAGGGCATTCTGGGTAAATACAACCAAAACAAACATGCTGCAGCTCGCGTTCTCACTAAAACCAGGAAGATGGAGCACATAACCCCAGTTTTAAAGTCCCTTCACTGGCTCCCTGTAGCTCAAAGAATAGACTTCAAAATACTGTTGTTAGTTTATGAATCACTGAACGGTTTAGCACCACAATACATTAAAGATCTGTTATTGCTGTACCAACCATCTAGACCCCTCAGATCTTCTGGTTCTGGTTCTGCTCTGCATCCCCAGAACCAGAACCAAACGAGGAGAAGCAGCATTCAGTTTCTATGCACCACAGATTTGGAATAAACTTCCAGAAAACTGTAAAACAGCTGAAACACTGGGCGCCTTTAAATCTCAACTTAAACCCACCTGTGGCTAAATTAGGGTTAGAGTGCGGGTTTTGATGTCTTCAATGTTTTTGATGTTTTTATCCATTTATTAATTTCTCTTTCTCACCGTTTACATTTTAATGATATACATAACAGAAACGTAAGTGAATTTTAAAAGAGCTATATCTAGAGGTTAGAGTCCTTGTCAAACGGCGTTTTGACTAAAGTCCAAAGGGTTGGAGTCCCAGTTGACGGCGTCTCAACTAAAGTCCTACAGCTTTTTATTTCTCTCACTGTTTACGTTTTAATTATGTTTTTTAAATCTCTCTCTCACTGTTTATTACATGCCGTTTTTATTTTAATTATGTAAAGAACTTTGAAATGCCTTGCTGCTGAAATGTGCTATACAAATAAAATTTGATTGATTGATTGATGATGCTAGCCTAGCGCCTGTGGGAGAAATGGCTCCTGGTATTTAGCCAAAGACAAAAAAGAAATCCTCCAACTGCTAATATCTAACGCCTCCAGTTTTGTTTACATTTGTGAAGAAGGAAGTCGCGCTCAGCTTTTTCTTCTGAGGTTTTCATGTAGTTTCCTTTAGTTTTTCTTGACGCAGCGCCCCCACAGGCGAGGAGGGGAACAGGTTGGTCAAAGGCAGAGGTCTCCAGGGCTCCACAGAAATTTAAAGTTTTTCAAACAAACTTTTGGTGACTATTTTCTATTTTATCTGCCCAATGACAAACTAAAAATATGTATTTTAATCAAATTAAAACTGATATGCAGATCATAGTTTCAAAAATTTGAGGGTAGATCATTTCCTTATTTAAAAAGATTTGGTTTTGAAGAAAAAAAGGGTCAATGTTTGTTGTTGTAGTTACTACAAAAATATGATAAATGCATAAACTTTAGTGAATGAGAATCTATTTTTTTTGTACATAATATTTTTCCCCCTAAAACATTAAAAATCTGCATCTGTTCTTGATTTTCTCTGTTCTCTAATTGAGCTGCAGATAAAAGCACAGCGTGGGACCTGTAGTTCCTGTGGTTTGGTTCTGGACCCAGGCCGGCTCGTCCGACAGCTGCATCATGTACTTCTGGGGAGGCAACATCCTGTCTGACCTGCAGAGCAACAAAAACAGACAGTTTAATATTCCACCTCTCTGATCAGCCTTAACAACTACAAATTGAAACAGCCAGTGGAGATAATTAATTCATCTATAATAACCATCCAGACACAAAGTAGCATAAATAAGTTATTTTCTCATTGTTCCATAAAATCCAGGACATTTAGTGGATTAAACAGACCTGAGCAGCTGATTAAATGTTTCCTGTTTTTCTAAACATGAGCAATTCTGGCTGCCCATTAATCTGGGAAGGACATAAGTCAATCGTTCTGCAGAGAAACAGTAAAGTCGTTTCTTTTTTCCCTCTAAAATGAAGCAACAGCACGTTGGAGGTTAGAGTCTCTGGTCCTCCAGCCTTCCTGGCAGGAGTTGGCTGGATACTTAATGTGATTTTACTCAACGCGTCTGGGAGGAAATTTATACAAAATGAACTTTGAAGACAAAATTTCACTAATTTAATGGTAGTAATTACAAGGAGACAGGAAAACCAGGATCCTCCAGAAAAGGAGGAGTGGATTGAAATTACTGAAGAAATTTATATAAAGGAGAGAGATTACTTTTTAATTAATTTACGAATGGATGGATTTATTATGAATCTGGAGAAACTGTGGCAGTATTTGGCTTTGAAAGCAGGTATAGTAAAGGCTCAACAGGAATTATGTAAAGAGATTATTTCATATTTTCTTTTTGTTTCCTGCAACATTGTCACTTTAATTTTGTGTTTTACTTTCATCTTTTTAACATCTTTCCCAATCACATTCCTCATACTCTGCCTGAGCGATGGGTTTTTATTAGATGGTTTGTTTTATTTTCACTCTTTCAATATATAATGTAAGAAAAGAGGAAAAAGAAAATTAAGTCATGTTAGTCTCCAAATTCACTCGAAACACAGGATTTGTTTACTCATATCGCCACGGAAGAGGGTTAGAGACAGAAAATAAAAACCATAATTCTTCAAATCAACAAAATGCAACTTCATCAGTTCCTAAACAGCCACCAATTCATTTCTGACATTTTATGTCAATTTCATTTCATGATTCNTGNTTATATTTGAGTTTTTCTGCTGCAGCAGTGGCCATGCAGGTGATCCCAAACAGCAAAACCGCAGCAAATCTAACAGAATGACAACGACTGAAACAACAAGGAGTTTATTATGTATTTTTTATTATACTCCCATCCACTCAGACGCAGCTGAGGCTAAACCTGATTTCTGTCTGTATGTTTCATCCACAGCTTCCACTCATTTTAGGAAAAGTCAGAATCTTGAGATAAAAAGTCTGAATTTTACAAAAAGTCTGAATTTTGGGCTCCATGTCCAGTAATGACCATAGAGATGATGCCAACAGCAAATCTACAACAGAATGCTTAGTTTTTTTTCTTTTTAGAACAAATCCACATTTTGCAGTGAGCGAATCACTGATAGGAAGAAAGTGGAGCTTACTGTGTTTTTCATTACATTCCCATCCCATCAGCTGAACCTGACTCTGTCTGTCCGCCTCGTCGCTCCAGAGCTTCACCCACCTGAAGGTCCAGAGCAGCAGAGCGACACCGAGGATGAAGACGAGGCTGTAGGTCACAGACCTCAGCTGCTTCAGCGCCGGCGGCTCCAGAACGCGGCTCATGGTGGAAATAATCCACTCAGCTCTGATCCCAGGTAGGAACTATCAGAACTTCGACTCATTAAGGCGTGGAGTCCAGATCCGCTTTCAGATCTTAACTTTTCACCTGAAGGAGAGCAGGTGAAAGACGGAGGGGAGGAAGCTCACCTCGCCTTATCTGCTCAGTTAATTATTAATAGTTTATTTATGGGGACATTTAACTGTCAAAGTTATTTGAATGTTTCATTTTTTTTCCTTTTTATGATTTCCATGTTATTTTTGTTTAATGTAAATGTGGCAGTGATTGTCAAACCAAACGTTGTATAAAGGTTCGACCTAAAGGCGCAGATGCGCTGACCTGATGCTTCGTACGCATGCAAAACACGTCCAACGTCCAAAACTTCAAGGTCACTTTTCATGATTTACTGTTTCCAATTGGACAAGAAAGCAAAAAATATCAAACTTTACATCGTTTCCTGTTGCTTCAGGTAAAAACCCAGAGCCGACCCAGTGCATGCTGGTCCCATACCAGTCACTGACCAGACCCACCGTTCAAAAAAAAGAAACAAAAATAGATAAAACAATTATTAATCTACAAATAAAATCTGAATAACCCCAAAAATAAAATAAAGAATGGCTCCAGCAGTAAACGGTTAAATATAAAGCGAACTCTGTGAGGAAACTCTTCGCTCCATTCAGACGCTCAGTGAGTGAGGCTGGTTCTTATGGAGGACTAATGCTGCCAAAATCAACCAGAAATACAGAAATAAACAGCTTGTTAAAGTAATCAATTAGCCAAATGTTGTATCCAAAGAAACTAAAAAAATGTTTTTTAATTATATTTTATGGCATAAATTATCAGTTTATAACTTTTATTAATGTAACATAATCAATTATTTAATTTTTCACTTTATTTCCAATTTAATAGTTTTATTAATTCCTTTTGCCATATTCTGCATTTTTAATATTTGTTTAGATTCTGTATTTGTTACTGTTTTCTTTTTACATTGATTTATTTCATCCTGTAATATTCCCTCTTTACATTTTCTCCTTTGTCCTTTTATGTACAGATTTATTTTTTATTTCCTTTGTGTTTTTTTATTTTACTTTTTAAAAGATGTGAAGTGAGAGAGAAGAGAAGAATGAAAATTTCCGTGTCTAATATGAAATCACGTTACAGAGGAAAATCAGAAAATCAAACAAAAGGGTTGGAGACACTGAAAACTCAGAGTTGAATTTAAATGCCCATCAATTTCACAATGCAAATTGTTTTCAATTATCAATAACATCCATATTTATAATTCCCGATAAATCTCAAGATTTCTATATTTTTTCTGGCAAATTTTCACATTTTAAAACTCAGAAATGTCAAAGTTTTTTTTCTAGAAAAGTCCTGAATTTAATTATGGTTTTAGGAAATTGCCTGTTTTCAATCTAAGACATTTTCAAGTTTTTGCTAGAAAATCTTTCCTTTTTTTTGGCTCTTTCTTTCGATCTACAACGGCCCCTTATTTAATCTCCACTTCCCAGAAATTTCAACAATATTTTGTTGTTTGATCAACAGAAACATCAGTATCTGACAGCAGAAACAAACTGAAAGGTAACTATAAAGGATCAATTCCAGAAATCCTAGAAAAATTAAATTTAGCAAAGTTTTAGTTTTTCAGGAAATCAGAAACTCAAATTATTCTGTCTGCCCCAACAAACTCTCCCAAGACTCTAAGATAAATATTTTATTGTCCATTTATATGGTGAAATAAAACAGAACCACAGCTGACCAGCACTCCAGGATTACTTTGGGTAAAAACACTTTTAACTGTTCCTGGATACAAACCTTAATGTGCCACATTGTAAACGCTGCTATGTCCTAACCAGGGCCGATCCAAGCCTTTTTGGGGCCCTGAGCACTTTTTCATTTGGGGCCCCAATACCAACATGTCAACACCAGATGCTTTATCGTTCCTAAGCTGCACTAGTTGTGTAACACGGCTTCTATCATTTGTAATTAGCTAACAAAGTAACGATGTTATTATGGCTGCTGGTTTTAACTTTACTGATGAAGAAAACAACAAACAAAAATAGGATTTTGAAAAGCAGACAGAAGTTTAAGTGTGTCACATTATTTTAACTATCTGAAAGTAATATTATCTGATAAACACTAAATTCACAGTAAACGAGTTAAGAAGTTTAATGTCTTATATTTCTAAAACAGTGGTGAAGCTAACAGTATTTTTCAATGATTTTTGTCATGTTAGCTTTTGCTCTTGGAGGCCCGTAGTGGTCTGGAGGCCCTGAGCAGGTGCTTAACTCGCACATGCCTTGGGCCGGCCCTGGCTCTAGTACTGTTTGCAGTGTGAGTGACAAGGCTGCCCAGTCCAGCAGCAGCGTTCACCAGTGAGTCATGAAGCTTTGGGCTGGAAAGTTTCATTGCTTCGTCTGCGGAGCGTTTCCACCCACCTGAAGATGAGGAGCAGCAGCATGAGGCAGAGGATGATGAAGGTCAGGCTGGGCAGCAGCCTCCTCAGCAGCAGCAGGTCCAGAACTTGAGTCATGGCGGGTCCAGAACTGATCCCAACTCACACCGACTCCTGCTGCCTTCTGGGTGCCGGTGGTTTGGGCTGCTGGTTCCCAGTGGGCGTGGCTGGATCGTCAACACATTGGGATCAGCTGGTTCCAGTGTTCCCAGCATCAAAACTCACTAAACTCACTGGAGTCTGGGTCAGACAGCGAAACAGCTGGTTGTTTGCTAATTATTTGCTGCTGCTGTAGAACAAACCAAATCAGCTCCTTACACTGTAAAAACAAAACAAAAAAATATCTGCTTAAACACTGTAGTTCAGCTAAAATAAGACAAAACTAACAAGTAACTTTTCAACAAGATGTAGGGCTTGTTTTAAATCAGCAATGAATATTGATAAAAGTACCAGTTCAGATTTTTTCACTTATAGTGTGTGTCAAACTAAAGGTCCAGGGGCCAAATCTGGACCGCTGTAGCTTTTTACATGGCCCTCTGGCCTACAAATTTCATAAATATGTCCCTCCAGTGTTTCACAAATTTGCAAAATTCACACAAAAATCAACAACTGCCCATATTTTTCTGATATTACTGCTAATTTTTCTCAAATTTTTTCAGAAACATTGGGTTTAAGCGACAGCTGCTTCGGTCTGAGTTGGTGTTAAGTTATAGCTTGTGATAAATATGTCAAGTAATAAAAAAATCACATCTAACATCACACATTAGCACAAATATAGTAAAAATCTCCAAATATTTATACAAAATGCTGGAGGGACTGATGAAAACACTTATTGAATACCGAAACAAACCGCTATTTATTAAAACTATAAAATTTATTTGCAACAAAAAAATGGCAGAAGTTGAAGAACTGAGACTTTGGAACGTATCCAGATGTACATCACCTAGATCCACTCCCTCAATCTGGGAGATGTTTTGCTGTAAATGTCTGACTATATAATATCAGAGTCTTAATGTTGTAAATTTATGCCTTTAATGATGGGAAATTCTAATGAAGATTTTTTTTATATAAATATGTGAAATTAATCTGGAAATTCCAGACTTTCTGTGGCCTCGTTATCGTTTTTCATGAATCATGTTCATAAAAATGTTTCCAATTAAATAAATGATGTGGATGTTTTTAATAAACATTTAAATTTGAACCATTTGTACTCAGTTTGCAGGTCACTAAAAGAACAAAGGCCATCATTGTTCATAAGGTCTTTGAGGACATTGACACTCTTATCTCTCCACCGAGGGAAGGACAATGGCTTGTTTCCAATGAGGATGGAAAAGTTATTAAATATGGGAGAGTGTTTATGCCATTTCAGGTTGGTTTATGTGATTCAGCACTGAATGACAGGTTTTAAGAAGAGAAGAAATTATGGGTCCTAATTGTGATTTAGCCTCTTTGGGAGGTATATTAGAATATATCAAGTCCTCCAGCTTGTATGGTTTGGATAGATTTTCTTCAGTTGGTTTCGAAGAAACAGAGACCTCAGGATTCAATCATACAAGCAAAGATCAGCGCACAAAGGACCAAAAATACATCTTAAAATTTGGTGACCTAAGCCCTCCAAGTGTTTTATCTCGTTGAAGTGTTCTCACTTTCAAACGAGGTTTCTTCCCATTCCAAATGAACTTAGCTATGAGAGAGTGCAGCTTGTCCCAGTAACCTCTTGGCGGTGCAAGAGGAATCATGGAGGAGTAAACGTTAACACGCGGAAGAACATCCGTTTTATTTACCGACACACGGGCTTGTAGAGAATTTGGGAGTTTTGACCAGCGCTGTAAATCTTTCTCAATAAGGTTAAATGCACTGGAAGTTGTGTGAAGCTAATATGAAGTATAGAGGGAGAGATGTCAATCCCGAGATATTTAAAATGGCTCACCACTGGGATGGCAGATGGCTGGGGGGGCAGGGGGGGTTGGTGTGACCGAATTTAGATGCAACAATGACGACTTGCTCCAGTTAATTTTATAACCAGATAGTGAGTCGAACAGATCAAAGATGGATAGTAGATGTGTTAAAGAGGACCCTGTGTCACCAATATAAAGTAAAATATCGTCTGCATATGAAGATATGCGATGCTCGGTGCCCTTGACTGAGATGGGCAGAACTGAGGGGTGTTGTCTGATTTTCTGGGCCACAGGTTCGAGGGACAGGGCAAAAACGTAATGGGGAAAGAGGGCAGCCCTGGCGTGTGCCCCTTAGTATGGGGAATAGAGAAGAACAAGTATTACCAGTATACACCATCGCAGACAGGTTAGCATACAGAACCTTTACCATTTGGATAAATTGCAGACCTAGTTTAAAATTGTCCAAGGTGGCCCAGAGATAAGAATTAGGTCTGTCAAACGCTTTTTAAGCATCGAGAGACAAGACAGAGCATGGGGAATCAGTTGTCTTTGCTGTGTGAATAATGTGTAGCAAGCGCCGTAGCCTGTCAGATGCCAATCTGTCTTTTATGAATCTGGTCTGATCATTATGTATCAGTATAAAATGTATGTATCAGTATGAAATAGCTTTCAAGTCGCATTGCAAGTACTTTCGCATAGAGTTTGACATCCCCATTTAAGAGGGACAGGGGTCTGTAGTTACTGCATGGTGCTGGGTCTTTATTAGGACTGAGAAGCAATGTGATTATTGCGGAATTGATACTTGGATTAAATGAACCTTTGTCAACTGCCTTATTAACCATATCCAGCAATGGTGGGCCGAGTATATCACAGAAGGCGAGGTACAACTCTGGTGGGACCCCGTCCCAACCTGGGGATTTACCTTTCTTCATAGAGACAAAGGCTTCTTTCAACTCTTTTAGCGTAATGGAGGCACTAAGTTTTCCTGAATCCTGATCAGTAAGAGTAGGGAGCTGAAGATTCAGAACAATCTGCTCACATTTTCCAGCATTCAACACTACTTCAGAGGAGTAAAGGGAAGAGTAACAAGTTTTAAATGGCGAGTTAATTTTGCAGGGTTCAGTTAGGGTACCGGTAGGAGATTGAATGGCCATGATGTTGGAGTGTTTCTCATTCTGTTTCAGTCTTAAGGCTAGTAAATGGCTTGGTCTACAGCAGGGGTGCCCAAACTTTTTGAGAGCAAGATCTACTTTTTCTCTCAACAGCCACCTGAGATCTACCTCATGACACAAAGACATAAAAATTGCAAATTAAACTCTATTGACTTATTTTATATGCAAATATACATAAGTTATAGCAGAAATAATAAAGTGACAGAAAACCTAATCCAGTTTCTTCCTCAGTGAGATTCTGACACTGGGAGGAGGTTGCTGGTTTCTCAGTCAGAAGCTGGTTGCAAACCTGAGGCCAGCAGGTGTCAGTCAGTCATGGTAGATCTGAAATTTGGTTTGATGACTGAAATATGAGAAACTAACCAAAGAGCCCAGCAAAGCTAAAGGCAAATCTTCTGAAGTCGGGATATAATTAATTTAATTTCACATAATTATCTCGGTAGAATTTGTTAAAACTTAATGAAATATATTTGTCCTATTTGATGTTTGTTGTGATATATACTCACAAACGAAGGAGGTAATTAGTCCAAGTTTGTCGTTTATTGAATGTTCAGAAACTACAGCGGGTGTAATGAGCCACAGCAAAGACAAACAAAGGTAAAACAACCCGAACAGGAACTACTCCTACCTTTTTACTTTCTGTCTCTTTGTCGTTTAAGCACACCCGTTGCCGTGGTAAACGCCTGCGCCCCGCAAGCCGAGCAGAGATTATGTTAAAAACACAAAATTCAGTCCGTTACGATATCAGGTTTCCAGGCTTGATATTTATTCCTCGATTATTAATAAGCCTCCCATGAACACAGCGGTGGTTGAGTAGCTAATTTAAACTCCTGCTCTGCTCGTCAGTCGGTCTTTGAGTCGCCTTTTTTCCCCTTTTTTTTTCTGTTAATGGGACCGAAACGCACTGAATTGCGCAACACCTTGTTCAAACAATAATTACTGAGATTATTAATTTTAACACGTTTCGCTGATTTTTTAAAATATTTTATTTTATTTATTTTTTTTTTTTTAATGAAGCTACAAACGTTTAGCATCTTAGTGAATATTTTTGATAAGCCCGTCAGAAGAGGAAGTGCTGGTCTCAGCGTCCTGGCGGCATTCAGATTGTCATCTGCCGAGATCGACTCAAAACCTTTCCGCGATCGACCGGTCGATCGCGATCGACGTATTGGGCACCCCTGTCTTAGATAAAGTGATGGTGTACTGGAAACCCTGGAAATGGACCTAAGTAGCATCAGTT